CGGTAATGAATAACGAAGGGGAAAAAAAATTCTCTCTCTCTCTTTTTTCTTCCCCCCCATCTCGGTGTTCGGGCTGGATCGGAAGAGAGAGAGGGGACAAGCTCTTCTCTGAATCCTACACATTGTCGTGTTTCACGCCAGGGCTCTCTCTCTCTACGGCTCTCTCTCTCTCTCTGTCCCTCTCCCTCTCTCCTCCTCTCTCCTCCTCTCTCCCTCTCCTCTCTCTCTCTCCAGCTCGTACGGATATTCGCTGCGGTAATGGCCAAGGGTCGATCTACCCTCGCCGAGTCACGGGTCCCGTGTGGCCTTTTCTGTACTTCATCTAGCCTCAGGGTAGGATTTATCTAAGCTTACTCCCTACATCGAGGCTGATGAGCTATGATAACATTACAGCCTACGAGTACGTGTACGAGTAGTGCATGTATTACGAGCACGGATGCTACCTTGACCTCTTTGCTGCTGCTGCTCTACACTAAGACTCGTGTGTTCTGGGTCGTTGGTGAGCTCCTCGTACTCGAGTGCATACAGACACGGACACGCAATCATCATCCGCACTCCCTCCCTGCCTGGCCATCGTGGCTTGTGGCTGACCTGACCTGACCTGACCTGACACGGATGTCTTTTATTTTATTTTATTATATATATATATATATATTTAAAAAAAAATCGGATTCCTTCCCTCTCAACATTCCCAACAGAGGCGGTGCACCCAAGAGTCGAAACGCCATCATCTTTTTACTCTGATCAGTCATCCATCATGGACGGGTTCCGTGGATACCTCAGATGTTTCGTAGCTATGCGATCCCTTGAATGTTTCTCCCCCCTCCCCACTCCCACTCCTCTCTTCCCCGGGGTTGCCAACAATGCAACACGGTCGAAACAACAGATCACACGACCGGAGGGGCCAAAGTCGCAGAGGGCACAACCTCGGTGCGGCAGGGAGAAGGAGGGGAGGCTCGCCCCAGCCTCTTTCCTTGGTCTGCCGTGAGAGCAAGGGCACATGATATTTCGTCATGATATTTCATTCTCCACCCTCAATCAACGCACGGCGGCGTTTGCCATACGTTCGTTTACCGCCATCACGACTGTTTTCTGTCCTGCGGTGTTTGCGCCTACGACGATGCCTGTAAACCTGTACATGGTAAAGGAGATGGCAGAATTCCCTTGCCAAGAATTGTCAGCCATCCGCAGCACGCCTTGCTACAAACCATCGGATGCTCGCTCGCGTCAGCACGACGGGAACCCTACCAATCTATCGCATTCTCGCTGACGAAACAAATCCATCACGGAGTGTATCAATATCTGCACGTCAACTCTCCCCTTTTCCCTCAGGGCAAAGCATTATAGGAAAAAAATAAAAAATCTAAAAAGGTCAACGATCGTCAAACCCCCCCCCCCCCCGCGGCCTTTTGTTGACCATCGACCAGGGTGCGAACCTGATGATGGGCGACTGAGAACCAATCGAAGCCGAAAGATGATGGCCTTTTCCCATCACCCTGTGGGACGACGTGGCCTAGCAAGGCCCTCTGCCTTCAGCCAGCCAGCCGCTCCCTCCCAAGTCCCGGTCTGGTTGGTCGGTCGGTCGGTGACTTCCCGTTTGAATACTCTCCCCCTCGTTCGTCAATTGGGTAGTTGACCTCGACGGTTTCTTTTTATTCTATTCTATTCTATTTTCCCCCCAAATCTTTTTATATATTTATCCGTCTTTCGCGCATTGACGCATCCTGCGAAGAAGGGTTGATGACCCGACAGATACCTGCAAGAAAGCGCGCGCGCGGGGGGGGGGGAGACCGTACATGTACTCGCTCGTACTTGACAAGGACTCTCTCTGGTATTTGAAAGTATGAGCGGCAGAGCATTGTCAATCGAACGATTGGATCGACAAGCCATGCCAATGGGTCTCGTCAGCTGGGGAGCCACCAACCGTCCATGGCTAAGCAGGGCGGCCGGGAGCCTGGGAGCCTGGAAGCCTGGTCATGTCGTGGCTAAGCATTGCAGAGACAAGATAGATTATCATCATCACCTCTTTTACAATGCAACGAGTCC